ATCCTGGGCACATGCTCACGGCTGATTTTCTGATCATGACATCAAACTTGAAACAGTCTTTCAATGCCACCAAGGCTGAACCTAATTTTCAACTTTTCAGGTTTAATGGATTCCAAACTAACAATTTCTGGTACATGGAAATTTTATCTGTTTGGCATTCTTTTTCCTTCCTTCTAGTAACAAAATCCCTCCTTTTTTTCCACAGGGAACCCCCTCTATGTGATGCTGGTGGGATCTGCCCTCTCATGGGACACAGGAACATGCCTGAATCAAAGAGATACTGGCCACACTGATTCAGACAGGCAACCATCAATCAAGATGACTCCTTGGCATTATTGTTATGACTGTGGCAAAGAGTTGCTCTTCACTGGGGTTTAAAGCTATGAGAATGGTGGCTGCTGCTGACAGGTACCTCTGCCACTGTGATGAGGGACAGCAAGTATGAGAACACAGCTGATGAAGTTAAACAGAAGAGCAGGGGAGAGAGAACAGAATGGCCCGATTATATCTCTTGAGCCACTGAATAGTTGTGCCTAAAGCCAGGGCAGCATGAACACACCAGTCACCTAAAGTCAAAAAACAAGCTTAAGCTGGAGTTTATCGATTGCAACCAAAATAATTCAAACTAATAAACTGATCTAAAGGAAAATAAAGTCCCGAAGGAAATTCCCCTTCATAGATAGTCCTTTTGGAATTCTGGACTTCTCTCTGAAAATAAACCTGACTTAATTAAAATTTCTTCTTCCTATGACATTACTGCAAAAAGTCCAGGCTAACCACATACCACCCTCTGCACCGACGGTTCATCTTAACAGTGCTGCCTCCAAGCAGATGCCACCTTCCGCAATGCATATGAAAGTCAGTCCTAGAGAAGAGACCTTGCAGTGGGCAATGGTAGCACAGTTTATAGCTGATTACCCTCAAAACACACTTGCAGTCAAGTCCCACAAGCTTCTCAAACTGCCCTCAAGAGGTACTGAACATGTCAGTGTAAGAAATGGCCTAGAGTTGTGGGGTCCAAAAACAAGGATACATATGGTGCAAAGGAAGAAGGTTGTACAGGTCAAAACACACAGAGGCAGTGTCAACTCTGCATGGAGAAGCCATTCTGCAGATGGCAGCATAAGCTAGAAGAATCGGGAGTTTCGAGAAACAGAATGCCCAGAGTATTGTCAGGAAGGTTGTCTGTTATTCTTTTGGAATAAGGATAGTAAGTGAAATGTCAACCAGGTGCCAAACCTGGACCACAGCCAAGTGCCAAGGTTTGGCATCAAGTGTGATGACAATCTGTGAAGTCTATCAGAAGCAGGACAGAGAAAGCAGGGATATGAATATATGAACTTGTTATTCTAATTGAAATTATTAAGTTTTGTCCTGGGGTTAAGCAAGGCCAGTGGAGAAACATACAGCTGGCCTGGAAGTTTCTCCTGCACTATACTTGGGTGTCTCATCAATCGTCTCCACTGAGGGCAGGCCTAATTATTCTCCCTACTGTAGGGACTCTGTGTTACCCTTTGCACTATCATGTTTATGAGCACTCTGTAGAATCTCCTGGAGTCTTAAATCACAATTAACCTTGCTTCTTGTGAGTAATGAGTGTGCTTTTTCTCTCTCCTAGCCACTATAAATTGCTAATTGTGTGAGTTCTCCTTTTGGTACTGACTGTGCAGAAGACCAGGGACAAGACTGGGACTTGCTACCAAATGAAGAGGCTCCCATCACATACTGGGACCTAATTTTATTTCTGACTTCATCCTACTTGTTTTTCCCAATACATTTCCTTCCTTATTTATTTTTCTGAATCCCATTATGTTATATGACTATTTAAAAGACACCTGAAAAATCTTTGGCAGAGGACAGGCACACAGTCTAGATCAATGGCAATCAAAATGTAAAACACACGGAGTCACAAACACGAGTGGAGGACAATTTCACAAACGCTATTATGGAGGTCATTAGAGGGAAGCTCCGACTGAGCAGTCTGAGGGTGGTGGGCCAGGTATATCCCTCAGCCAAACTGCCACGTCAGCAAACATCCTAGTACTCTCCTCCTCTTCCTGCTCTCTGGCTTATAGCCTGCATGCTCCACCCTTGCTTGGGTAGCTGGGCACTCTCAGGTCCATCCCCAGGCACCCATACCTACCCTCTCTTCTGGGTTGCCCTCCCTTTCTTAAGTCCTCCACCAAATCAAAGGTCTCACACCTCTGTAGGACCTTGTACTTGCCTGTAAGTTGTCAATGACTGATACAAAAAAAAGCCCTTCCTTTCTCAGGAACCAGTACATTTTAACAAGGAATTTTGAAGAGTTAAAAAAACCACTGGAATAATTCACTAATGGTGAATACACTGTAAAAAATGGTATAGATGCAAGTGAACAGGGCAATTTGCCTGTATATCTCAAGTAATCTATGTATAGCTGTTAGCCCAGTACCTGACATACTGTCAATGCTCAGTACACAGAAGAATAATTATTACTACTGCTGCTTTGACTATTAATCCCTCCATTCCCTCCGTTACCACTCAACCACTCTGCTTATTCCTACACTTCCAGCATGCATGTAACTGTCTTTTTCATAACATTGGCTAGAGATCCACAATCAATTAATGCTATGTTAATTACATTTTATGGTTTATAAAGCATTTTATATACATTGTTCTTTTTGATCTTCCTATTAATCATCAAACTAAATATTATTCCCATTTTGTAGCTGGGGAAACTGGGAGGTTGATTTGTAAGCTCAGGGAGGTTGATTTGTAAGGTCCTAGAACCAGGCTCAAAGCCAGGTTTTGCATAAATTTCTTGTTCTCCCCATAACAAGTTGCCAACCGCACTGCATCACATCAGAATTATGTGAGGGCTTTAAGATTCCTGGGGATCACTTAACGAATGTGGATGAACCAGAGGAAGGACCATGATTCTATATATTTCAACAGGTGCCCCATGTGATTCTGATGAGCTGCTGGTCCATGGTGCTTCTGGCTGACTGTGTACCTGCTGGAGTCTCAGTTCTGTGCGAGGTACCACGAGGAAGATACACGTGACCTTCTTGAAGAACTAACAAAGCAACTGAGGAAGTAAGACTAGCCAAGGTAAAAGAAGAGTGAACCACTGATGATACAGCTCAGTTCTGAAAGAGGTCAGAGTGAATGAGATCACAGACGTCAGGAGTAAGACCGCATTACAGAGGAGGGAAAATTCTACGGGGCCTCACAAAATGGGAAGGATTTCTAAGTGGAGAAAGAATAATCAAAATGAGATGCCCTCAAGAGAGATGATGAACAGATTAGTCTGGCAAGAATAAAGGGACCGGTAGGAGGTGAGCAACAGAGTGGAGAAGCCAGAGAGAGGAGCCCAGGTTGGTGTGAATGAATGGCAAGGAGAAAGGCAGGGATGGCTTCTGAGCACAGGAACATTTTAAAATATAAACTGAAGGACAACTGGTGTGGCAGTACTATGCAGAATGAAGGGAGGCCTGAAGGGTAAACACCTGGATTGGGAGGATCACCTAGGAACCTGCTGAACTGACTGTGTGCCAGATGGCAAACGATAAGATGGGTTATAGGGTACTGACCACCAGAATGGGAAGGGATGGGCTGGGAGACAGGAGTCTAACCTGAGACCTCTCTCTGTCTATGCRCTTCTAAATTTTACAAAGCTGTTTTCATATGACACAGAAACATGATGGTAGGTGGCAAAAGTGACTACAGTTTTCTTCTCCCTGCAACCAGGCTCCTTGCATTGTGATTCTGCAGCAACTCTCATCAAAAGGAGGGCCTATAGCTACAGCTATTGAATCCAGGCTAGACACAGAGCTTGCTTCAGCAAACAGAAAGCCTCAGAAGCACTGCGGTGCCTGTTCTGAACCTCAGCCTCAAGATATATGTGCCTGTTTCTCAACACCCTGCCCAATCACCAACATGAGCAAACTAAGAGTATCGTGAAGGGCGATGAGGCAGGTGGTTTAGCCATTTTTATCACTTCAGCTGGGTTTCAATGTGAATCCCAGAAACAAAGGCTGGCTGACCTGGACCTGACACAAAGAGTTTCTAGCTGCAATCAGACAAATCACAACTGAGTCCAGCCCAAATCAATAACCAGCCAGAGAATTAGGAGATACATAAATGACTGCTATTTTGAGTAAGTGAATTTTGGGGTGGTTTGTTATGCAACAAAAACTAACTCATACACACCATAGTAGTACAGCTGTATTATCAGGAACTGATGCCCCAAGAAGCCCCCAAAACTTCTCCACTTAAAAAGCACATTAATAGCCGGGCATGTTGGTGCATGTCTGTAATCACAGTGGCTCAGGAGGCTAAGGCAGGAGGATTGCAAGTTCAAAGTCAGCCTCAGCAAAAGTGAGGCGGTTAAGCAACCCAGTAAGACCCTGTCTCTAAATAAAATACAAAATGAGGTTGGGGATGTGATTCAGGGGTCAAGTACCTTGAGTTCAATCCCTGGTATCCCTCCCCGCCATTACTTTCCTAGCTCTAAAGGATGTTTTCTACCACTGCCAAACTTTTAACACAACAATCACATTTAGGTGAGATGACAGATGATTAAAAAAAAAAAAAAAAAAAAGCAATAGGAGTACAGCCCTAATATCTATCTTGGAGCTTGTGAGCCAATTTTCATTACAACACACTGCAAGGAACTGTCTGAATTCCTTGGCTAAAGAAACACTTTATTGTTTTGGATACTGCTTGAAATAAGCAGACCATCAACAGACGCCTGGAAATAGTTTCATTACCAAAAGAAAAAAAAAAGTCTTTATTTTAATGGTATTTGGCATACTCATGAATCTCTTTCCTGCCCATGTTCTTAGCAAAAGAACATGGGTTGCTGTTTAAGGCAAGAAAACATTATAAATCATTTGGGAAAGAAAAAAAAGTCATCTAGTCATAGCACTGGTTGGGATCCTTCTAACTTAGAAGTGTGAATGTCATTTCAAAAATAATGTCATATGGTCACTTAGTTTTAATAATGAAAGAGAACTTACCAGTAAGAACTTGTGTGGTCCAACGTTTTCAGGTTTTTAATGGTAGGACGAATCTGAAATAGAATTAAACAAAACATTCCATAAGTCAGTCACACTTGGAAAGAGTGAGCTTTCAATCCCAAGTGACTGCCATGATTTTGAGTATTTATTCTTTTAGTTAAAGATTAACAAAGCTTTTTCTGGCTCCAAATGCAATAGGGAGTGTTTTTTCGCCTACGTATTTCAACTTCCTGAACAGAGAGCATTCTCTCATCTACTTCAGGGAGTGCTGGAAGTCTGAGGCCGTATAACTATAAATGGTAGTGTTTTCATCCAAACCCCTCCAAGTCAGTGAAATCCTTACTGCTGCTCTTGCCTTGGTCCCTCAGCTGCCTTCGGCTAAGACCAAGACATGGCTACCTCTGTGGAACCAACCAACCAACTACTGGCTTTCCAATGGTGGCCACCTGATCATGTAAAAACACACAAGGTTGTGTCTTATTGGTAACAGTGAGCTTCAGGTAGTGCTGCTCAACAAAAATAATAATGCCAGCCACATATACAATATGAAATGTTCCAGCTGCCACATTAAATAAAAGAAACAGGTGAAATTAATTTTAATAACATATTTAACACAGCTTAATTTATCCAGAATATTATCATTTCAACATATAATCAATATAAAAATTGAGATATTTTACATCTTTTTTTCAATAAATTTTACCGTGTATATTTCAGGTTTAGAACGTTTCATGTGATATAGATAGTAAGATGGTTAGTATTGTGAAGATGATTGACATATCTATTATCTCACATACTTTTTTTGTGACAAGAGTAGCAAAAAATCTTACTTAATAAAAGTCCCCAATACAATGGGATTTTGTCACCTGCAGTCCTCATGTTCTACATTACATCTCTAGACTTGCTCTTCCTGCATATCTGCTACCTTATGCATATCTGCTACATCTCCCCACATYCTCCCCTGCCTCTATTTTGCATACCAAATCTTTAAGAACCAGTCCATCTTGACTGAGGCTGGCCACTCAGGCTAGTAGCTCCACACTAGACAGCATAGGTTTAGGGAATATGTTCTTGGCCTTCAGGTACTGGGCAAGGCTCCAAAGCAAGTCCAGCACACATGGAGATTTTATTCACCTGTTTTCCTTCTCCTTGTAATCCATCATTACCCCATTTTATGGTGTCATTTTAATAAAAGTCATAAAGCAGTGACAGCAAATACTTATACAGCACTCCTACATGCCAGGGCCTGTTCTTGTTCCTGTTACCTCGGTTAATCCTCACAAAAACTTATGAAGTACATCATCATTCCCACTTTGTGCTGAGGAAACTGAGGCATACAGAGATTAAGTCCCTTACCCGAGGTTATAAGGTGGTAACAGAGTCTCCCTCTAGAGCATACTCATAGCCACTATGCACTCAATTAAATTTGAACAGCTCAAAATAAGATCATTACTTTCAGTTTTAATTATAACCATCAACTGATCCAAAGTCTGCTCTCATGATAACACGGTTAGATAACAGCAGTGACAGTACATGGAAGAGGTACTGGCTATGCTGGCAAATTAAATTAAAAACCAACCTGGAGTGGGAACATGAAAACCACAGGTAGGCCTGGGGTCAGACAGATTGTGATAGACGAGGGGGCCTGTTTGGATGACGAGGGTAGAAGGAGGGAGCGAAAGGTATGCTCTCTAGAAACACTTGTCTTTGTGGCCTGTCAGAGGGAAGGGCCTATACCTTTCATTAGACTCTCCAAGGGGTCTGAAAAATAGCAACCCTTGCATCAGTCTCAGCAGTTCAGACAGAAGAATCAAGTAGACAAGAATTAAGAAAACACATCCTGTGTGCTAGGCGCTGTGTCCCATGCTTATAGTTTCAGTGACTCAGAAGATTGAAACAGCAGGATTCCAAGTTCAAGGTCAGCCTGGGCAACTCAGAGAGATCCTGTCTCAAAATAAAAAGGGCTGGGGTGTAGCTCAGTGTGTCCCTGGGTTCAATTCTCAGTACATAAAACACAAAAAGCAAATATATCCTCTTTCACCTTATTAATCCACAGGCCTCCCTCAACCCCCAAAATCAAACTCAGTGAGCAAACTCAGATCCACACAGGCACTCCATGCCTAAATCATACTGGAAGGAGGTTGGTCAATTGGTCAGTGATTGATGCTGCAGAATCACAGGCCATGAGCTCAGCATGCTGCAGAATATTGCCACCCAGCTCATACAGTGAGCAGTGAACCTGATGAAAACCCCTCCATGGYCTCCTCTGGGCTTTATAGTCCAATCCAAGCTCCTCAACCTGTCTAAAAAAGTTCCCATGACCTCGTGCCTGCCCCACATTGAAGCGCTCCTCACGGGCATCTTAGCCACCTAGAATTATTAACAGGGTTCTAAATGCCCCCCACCCCCCATCCTCCTCGGTGTCTTTGAGGATTCTGTTCTTTCTGTCAAATGTCTTTCCCTATAGCATCAGGTTACCTTCATGCTTTGGTTCAAAAGTTACCACCCCTGGGAAGCCTTGTGAACTACCCAGTTGGCCTAGGGACAACCTTGTGGTAATGGAAGCAAGTAGTATTCATTCAGTTCAGTTGACAGTTGTGTGGTACTACTGCTGATAACAATAAAAGCTGGTCTTTATGGAGCTATGTCTAAGCTTTACAAACTCCTTTAATCCTTTTAGAAATCCTATGAAGTAGATTTTATTGCTCCATTTAGCAGGTGAGCAAACTGAGGTACAGAAGTTAATTCAGTAGCCTACAGTCATAGGCTTGTAAGTGGCAGGGCCAGATCATGAGCCCAGACAGTTTGGTTCAGAGCCTGCACTCTTCATAGCTATATTATRCTTGCCATCAACTAGGTTCCACAGCATCTATACTACTCGCCCTCATGCTTCCTGTTATTTCAAGTAATTCTTATGTTTCAGTTTTTCATGTACCGGTTTCTCTGCTCACTTATTTATAGAATCCCTGATGGTTAAGAATCATTCTTTTAACTCATCTTTGTCTCTCCAAGACCTAGCAAAGTGTTTAGTGTATAGTAGATGCTCAATAAAGGTGCACACAGGGAAACACTGGAACAGCACGGGAAGGATGGGAGACAGGGCTACAAACTGGGCTGAATAAAAACACACCAGGGGGACTGGCATTGTGGCTCAGTGGTAGCACGCTCACCTAGCAAGCGTGAGGCCCTGGGTTCGATCCTCAGCATCACATACAAACAAATAAAGATATTGTGTCCAACTACAACAAAAAGACAATAAAAAATAAAAGATTAAAGATGCATATTCTTTAAAAAAAAAAAAAGAAAACACCAGGGTAAAGAGCCTCTGAATGTGAACTTTTAACAAACAAGTTTTAACCTCATCTTTTAAATGTAGCCATTGCCAAGGAGATAATCACCCAGTAATGAAGGGAAAAGAAGTAACCCAAAGCTTGTCAGACTTGATCATGTCTTCACTGAGTTCATCATCAGCTCATTCTACTTTGCATGGAGATCTTAAGTAATAGCATGCCAATGGTTCTGGCTGGTCAGAGTGGAAGAACGCCCGAAAAGACACATATTGAAAATCTCCTTTGGCTGCCTGGACATGGCTTGGACATCTCTGCCCTAATATTCTATGGTATGTTTCTTTCCATTACTTTCTAAATTCCTCTTAGATGACTATGAAAAGTGACCTTGTAGGAGGACACTCTTCTCTTTCTTTAAATAGTGGAAAAGACAAAAGTTTCAAGATCTGGGACAGATAAAGACCTTCAGAGAGTGAGAAGAGCACCTTCTAGCTCACATCAGAGATTGTATACCAAGGCTGTGGCCAAGTCTACCTCTCACAGATACATAAAATCAGTCATAACATTCACCATTCCATGGCCTCCAGAATATAAGATACCATGCATCCAGACTATAAGATATCTATGTGCTAGTTTCTTGTATACATGGATATCAGCATCATCTTGTCATTAACAATCAAATTCTAAATCTATAGTTTGACTCTAGCTAGCTCATCTCCTTCCCTGATGGTAATAAATAACAACATTAATTTGCTAGTATTGAGAGCTTTACTGAATGCAAATAACGTGCTGTGCACAGTGTAGATGTTGGAGATACAACAGTGAATACGGTTAAAAAATTGGTTTTCTTTTTGCTCAAGCAACTGGGTCAATAATGACTTCACTTGCTCAAGGAGAGAAACAGGTTGAGTGAGGAAGAAAATCTAGAACTCTGATTTGACCTGGTTAACTCTGAGACATCCAAGGGGAGATGACCAGGAAGCACTAAGAAGTCTAGAACTGTACTGTCCAATAGAGACTAGTACATATGGTTATTTAAATTTAAATTGAGTACAATTAAAAACTCACTTCCTCATTTACATGAGCCACATTTCAAGTGGTCCAGTAGCCACCAAAGAGGCTTCTATGTGGAGTGACATAGGTTTTTTCCATCATTGTAAAAGTTCTACTAACCAGGGCTTATCTATAACATACATGACAACCTTTTGGATTCCTTTATTACTATAAAGTTTACTGAACTACAAAATTGGAGCCCTGGAAGATCTTAGTTTACATGGCAATTGGATTCTGATTTGCTTGAATATATTTGTTTCAAATCTAACTTAAATTCTCAAGGACAATAGACACTGTAGGCAGAAGTGGCATGAACACTGGATCCACAGGCCTTGCTTCTGGCTTGTCTTCTCTACCAGGGCAAGTAATTTATGTGTGCTTCCATTTCCCCACCAACAAAGTCAAGAGTGACCCTGAATGGACTCTGTGGAGATGGATGCTGGAGAATGTTTCCAACTCTGGAGATACCTCCACTGTCAGGTCTATTTGTTTTCACACGTAAATTCTGATATAATGTTATTTCAAATGGCAAAACAGATGTAAAAGGGGTTTTGATGCACATAAAGAACCCTACTGTAGTAATGAATGATATATGCTCCACCAAGGTGAGATCAAGCTGAAAAAAAAAAAAAAGAAAAAGAAAAACCAAACTTATACTTAAGTCTATCAGAGAAATCTATTATTAACTGTTGGCAAGTATAATGACTTTATAA